TAAATATTTTACTATATAAATGATTAATTTAGTTATTCTTACATATATTCTTTATTTAAACTTATTTTATGAAGAAAAATTAATTTTAATACCGAATATACTTTTTGATTACAATATGTATGAAAATAAAAATTATTATAACAATGAAATTGTGCTATAAATAGTTGTGCAATTATTTCAATCGTTAATATTATAAGAGAACTATTAATTTATATTAAATAATATTAAGCTTACATTTTTTTATATTATATTCAAGCAATTATTTAATAAACGATAAGGTATGCCAATAAAATGTCTTTAAAAGTTGGGATATTATATATACGAATTTTCAATGTTCATAACTTATTTCATGATTTACTTACTAACATGAATAAATTTTAATACTTTTTCCAAGCTAAATTAAAATAATTCTTTTAATTAATAACACGGTAAAGCTTGACTTGCAAATTATCTCTATTTTACTTAAATTTAGGTGCTTAATGGATCTAAAGTATAAAACATATTACATTTGAAATATAATAAAATCTATAATTTCAATTTATATGTTCCATGATAGCATTATAAAAAGCAATATTTTCCATATAGTACTATGATAAAAAAAATTTTAATTATCTTGAATTAGGTCAGTAATTTTCTTATATTAAAAATAAAAATTAAATAAATATTAATTAAAAAAAATCTGTGCAAATATTAAATTAATTGCTTTTACAGAAATATTTCCCAATCTAAATAACAATTAAAAGTTCCATATTTTTATGCACAAAAAAATAAGTTTTAAAAAATAATTTTTAACTATAAAACTATAATGATATTTGTTAAAAAAATATTTGTTAAAATAATATTTATTAAAAATAATAAATTTTTTAAGAAAATACACCTTCAGCTATGCATGATTGTTCTTTTATAGTGGCAATTTATCATTTTATATGCTTGAATGTGTATGAAGTGAAGATTATAAAAATACTAACAAATAATAATAAATATTCACTTAATTAAAATTTAGATTTAAATTTTAATTTGATAATTTGAACAACTTATCGTTTTTATTTTAAATTCTGAAATAATGGTTTCAAACACAATTAATAAAGACGAATCTATAAAATCGTAAATTCACGAAACTTTTTATTTGAATATTGAAACTATACATTTTTATTTTAAATACATTATTAGAAAGTAGTGAATAATTCTTTTTGATAATGTAAAGATATCCTCATTTTTTATTACCTAAAATAATTAATCAAAAATTCAATACATATTGTTACAACTGCAATAATTTTTTTTTTTTTGTTCCCTACATCAATTGTTTATGAAATGCGCTATTTTATTTATCATTATCCGTATCATAATTACCATCATCATTATCATTATTATTAATACTATCGCTATTTGAAAGTTCATTTTATCTTCAATTTTATGAAATTGACTAGTTCATTAACAACAGTTACATATTAATCTTGCTACTCGGGTTTAGAAACGCATTATATACAATATAAACACACCATAATGTAAATGAAATTTTCTTAATTTACTTATTTTTTCATTCTAAGAATTTGAAAAAATAATTATTATTTTTTTGTAATATTTGCTTGTAAAATTTGTTCCTTGAAAAACGCATATTATTTTTTGTAAAATTAAATATCAAAATTAATATTAAAAAAATTCTGTTTATTTCATATTCTAAAAAATAAACTATTAGTATTAATATTTTTAATACAAGAAATACAAAAAAAAAAAAACATAAGATGAATTCAAACTCATTACTAATTTTCTCATATTATAACTCTTTGAATTTGTAAATGAATTAATAAATGAATCATAATTGGTTTCCATCGTAACTTAATACTGAAATCATTCAATTTTTCTGTGCCGATGTGTATTAACAATATTTAATATTATATTAAGAAGCTTATTATACCAGACTATTCTTCTAGAAGAAGAAATCGTAAAAAAAGTGTCATTAATTAGTCTTAAATTGCTTTTGCTTAAATGGTTATTATTGGTTTGTTTATTTGTTTGCTTTTTGTGTACGCGCACGCGCGCACGCATATAAATACATAATATAAATATTATAAAATATGTACGCGCGCGCGTACACGGCGCCTAAGAAATTTTCTTCCAAAAAGTATAAAATCGAATTTCGAAAGCAAGGGAAATGCGTAATAAAACAAGGGCTCATCATTTTCGGTGGTCGCTATGGAAGCTGCCGGCGCGCCTTTGTATACAAAGGAAGGTCGGAGAGAGGGGAAATTTGCTTCTGATGCTTTGATCATCGAAAACCAGAGCGTGTGAGAGAGTTTCAAAGTTCCCACATTCGACGAGGGGACCTATGCACCACAAAATCACCGCATTCCGCTCATCTTGATTGAGTTATCATGCATTGACCATCAGCTATTTGTATACAAATAATTGCGTACATTAAAGGATTTTAATATTTTCTATATACTGTATATCAATAATGGAAACTGCTGCGCCTCTTTTATATATTTTATATACACTTTCCTTCTGAATTTACATCTTAAGGTCTTTGAAATTATACAAAATGATATTTTTAAATTAAAAAAAAAATTTATTATAATAATTTATGAACTTTTTTGTTTATGATTCAAATTGTAATCTTAATAATTGAAACATTTTATTTTAAACTAAAATTATATTAAACATAATGTTTTTAAGAACATTCAAAGAAATAATAATCTTATATCAATTTTCAGCAAAACTTGAAAATCCTTATCGTATATTCATTTATTATCTTTAAGAAATTTAAAAAAAAGACAAATATTGTAGATTTCTATATTAAATATATTTAGTATTTCTAATTTTTAGATTTTTAGATTTTTAGATTAAATTATTAACATTGTAAAAACGAAAAACAAATTAATATCAATTGATTTATAAGAACGATTTCTCAGATTCTACCTAAAATCAATTTAATCTACACAGAAATGATATCGCGCGCATAAATATATACATTAATTTATTCAGGTATATTGGTGCAGAGAATGACAATAGTCGTTCATTTAAAATTCCAATAATATTTTACATGTCATAAAGAACAACGAGAATAAAAGATCACTGTATATTTTTTCAGATTTTAAATAATCGCTAATCATCATCGCTTATTATAAATATGTCTTTACTTAATTAATATACTCAATAAATACTTATAATACAGTTATAATTAATGTGTTAATTTATTTATCAACAGTTTGATTATACTAAAATCTTAAAATCTTAAAACTATATAATTACAAATTAATAATACAAAAGTGAAACAGTACAAATGTAAATATTATTTTCAATAATTTGATATACCAATCTAAATTTGAGTTATTTAAACGAATGAATTATTTCATCAAAAGTAGTATAAACTTTTAGATAATCTATAGCAAAAACGTTTGATTGATATATTATTTTAGATTTGATTTTATGTTTAGGAAAAATATCATGTTTATTATTATAACAAAATTAAAATTATAAATGTTGGTAAATGTAACTAACTATAAATTGTTTCTAAAGTTACAGATGGGCAAAAATATTTTTCAAAATTTTATTAGTGTATATATCCAATATATAATTTTCGAAAAAGACAACTATTAACGTGAAACTAAACCCATAGTTGTTAAACATAAATAAAACATATACTTATAAAAAACTTTTATTAAAATATAGATTCGCTAAGCTTTTTACGCTGGATCGTTAAAAGAAATCATAGACTAGATAAACAATTCTGATAATGATGAAAAAAAGTTTTATATTTTCAACATTGAAAAAATCTATCATAATGTGTAACAAAAATTATTATTTCTAATCATTAATAGAATATATGGTAAAAAATAATTTGTGCTTGATAAACTTTAAAAGTTATTTTATAATATATTCACATAAGTTAAAATAGTTTATAAGCACATAATAAAATGAATTTAGTTTATTTATTTTATTATTTCGGATGATTATTAATATATTCGTAAAAATATTGTAAATATTCTTAAAATATTTTTATTTTCATTGTAAAAATTTCATGCAGTTTTAATTATCCTCAAAGACATTATCTAGGTTAGCTGCATATATATTATAATTTTTCTTATGTGGATTAAAACTTATGTGTATGTAGACATACTTCTTGTGTTATAAATGTTAACTGATCTTATTTCCAAATTACAAAATGTTATCATCTAATGAGAAGACAATACTCTATTCCAATACTCCATTACATTCTTAATTGCGTATTAAATGAAGTATTTTAATGAAATTATTGACGGTTTAAGCAGGCATTATGCGCAGAAAGTCCTACTGTCTTCGTAATATAATTCCGAATATAATAATTTTATAAATGTCATAAATTATATTTATAAATCAGTTCAAATGATCTAAAATATAAAATGTTTTATAATTTTAAATATATAAAAATGCTTAGCTAAACAACAATCGTATTATTATAAAAATTAGTGGAAATTCGAAATTCTAATCGCAAATATAATTATAATAGAATAATATCATATAAAAGTTCAATTGAATAGTATAAATATTAATTGAAAAAATTGAAAATAATTTATTGAATTCTAAGAATGAATTACAAAATAATGATTTATGTAATTTTATGTTAAATAAACTATTGTACGTATATCGTATGGTAATTTCCGAACTGTAACATTGAAATCTAATAAAATGTTAACGGATTTCAAAGACAGAAATGCCTTGGGAAAGCAAAGCAATCCGTCAAAAGCTCAAAATGAAGTAAAAATGAACTGTTAGCTTTAAATCCATGAAATTCACAACTTTACACAATCGACTCTTCTAACATCAGAAATCCAAGTTACAATGCCCGATATTGTGGTTCATTGTCAATAAAAAGTAGATCTAGGGAACGAGAACGAGTGTTTATATCGAAGACGATTCGTCGGGATTCGAGTACACACGAATTTCTCCTCGGACGATCAATACTTGAGCGATAGGTTCATGCGCTCTCGGAACTTTTCCATCTGGTGACGAGGTAACGAGAGGGTGGCGCGCCTCGTGAACTCGTCCTCTATTCACATCGCAGCTCCAGCACATCCAAAGCTGTACACGACCTCGCGTAATTTGGGCCAAACACCAACAACAACGTTTATTTCGTAAATTTCGTATTAAAAACTCTCCTTGATTGATAACAACACTTTTTCTCAATTAATTTGGTTTCAAGAATAATTACACGGATACCAGAAAGGTGAGGTATGGAGATGTAGATAAGTGTACGTTTAAATTTTCACATTACTTACTGATATTATTTATCCTCACTCAATCCGTGTTTTATTAAAAGAATGACGAGTTGTGTATTTAGTTACGAGTGATTTATTATGTGACCTCAACAATATAATCTATCGTGTATATAAATTGTGATGTACGCATTCGTGATCGTAATAAAACTCAGGCCATTTTAAATAAATTTTCCTTCGTGATGGTGTGGTCGGTTAACTGTGAATGAAAATTTATAAAATGTTACAATCTAAACTAAGATTGGATGTAAGTCTTTTTCTCTATTTTTACAGTTCCTCTCCAAAGCATTATGATGATACACTGTATTCTTCTCGTGAGTGCTCTAGTTAGCACACAAGCATCAATGTATAGTATAACAGATTTAAAGGTAAATTCATTAAACATGTTCAAATACTAAATTTTTGCTTCAAGGCTACGTTTTTGTCATTTTGTCATTTTGGCACAGTTTTAATTCTTCACATATCAATTGTCTATATCGATAAAATTTATTATCTTATTTTTATTCTTCGTTACATGGAAAATCATTTGATTTTAAATAATAATAGAATTACAATTATACGATTAAGAATAAAATTCAAGATTTCAACAAATAAAATAATTGAAATATAAGGATGAATTATAAATTTGACTTCAATATATTTGTGATTTTTCATTATACAAAATATAATAATTATAAAATAAATAAATATGCACGTCATGTTAATGTGACATATTAAATAAATAAATAAAGTATATGATTACGATTATTTAATTATTTTGAGATATATAACTATAAGAATATTTTATAATTATATAGCTGTTTATATTATTATCTTATTACACTGAGATTAGAGTAAAAATGACTAAACCAAAAGAATATTAATTCATACATAACTATGTCTATTTGATACAATTTATTTATAAAATCAATATTACAAACATATATTTTATCAGTTTTTATCAACAGGAACATAATCAATATTCAATATTAAGGAATGCAAAATCATTATAAAGGAAACTTTTTTTATCTAACGTTTATAATATTGAGAATCAATTTAGAAGAAAGTGATTATTTTCGATTACACACTTATATATGGATAATTACTAAAAAAAATTGGTAAAAAATATTTACATAGTAAAATGAAAAAGCTCGATACAAAGTATATTTTGCCATTTGGTTTTTCAATTAAAAGAATCGACTTTACCATTTCAATGAATATTTGAAAATGGTAATATGCCTATGCTTGTATTTAATTGCTTAATCCTGTATATTCAACAGCCGGATCATTTATTCGTGAACAATATGCTGTTGCGCGACCTCATAGAGCGCATGGGCAACGAACTTGCGGAAGCTGCCGTAGATTCATACGTCGACAGCCAGGAGTCGTCTTCAGGAGTGCGTGGATTTTCCGACAAGGAAATTCCCCTCGAAATACCCCTTGACTACGAGGGAATCGACGCTATCAATCCCAAGACAAATATACGCGACCAGGAATACTTGCAGCATAGCAGCCTTTGGAGTCACCAACAGCTCAATAACTACAAGAACAACAATCGATATAAAGTTAAACCTGGTGCAGCGGTCAAGCTCGTAGCGTCCAGCAAAAGCGAGAAGACGGAAAATCAACTACCGGCTTACTGCACACCACCGAATCCCTGCCCTGTAGAATATAACGGTAAATTTATTTATCTTTCCTTTAAATTTCTTTTCGCGTTGCGACAGACTGCTTTTATTCCTAATCAATGCTGACTGTCAGGCGTGCAACTAATATATCAAAATCCTTTATTATAATAAATATCGGATGCAATTTTTTGTAAAACTATCATACTATATGTTTTTAAAACTCGTTCGTTGCGTAAATGAACGAAAATTAAATCCAATTTTAAAATCTATTTATTGTTGACCTTACAACAATTTACGTAGGTGAAAATAATTGCCTCGTAAATTTCAAGAATACCGCAGCCTTTAGCCGTGATTATCAAAGTGCCCAAGACTGCATGTGCGACTCTGAACACATGTTGAATTGTCCAAGTGGATCCGATGTTGACAATAATGTACCTGGAGTATCAATCTCAAGTGCCGACTTCGATCAGATTGTGGAACGATTTCAGGTAACGTAAATTTAATGAACCATTTACTTATATACCTTATAAGCGGTATCAGATATTTAAATAAAATAAACATTTGTTAGTTAAACTAAAACATTATTAAAACATTATTAGTTAAACTAGATTCATCAAAATTTTTGCCAAACTAAGAATATTTACATACAAAAAGTACCAATAGCACATTTGGGTAAATTAAACTATATGTATGATGTAATTCAAATAATCTAAATAGTAATTACATTTAAACTTATACAAATTGTTTAAAGTAAAATAATATATTTGAAATGATTATAACAGAAGAAAAATTAAAGCACACATATGTATCGCTATATGACTAAACATTCATACTATATATTTATCTGCAATTAAAAATATAATTGATTATAGGACAATCCATACTTCCGTGGTGAAAAACTTCCAATTGCTGCAAAAAAAGGAATCAATGTTGGCTACTAACTTCCAGCATACAAATTTACGAGTGTCATCAAAACTTTAATACATTATAAAAAGAAAAATATATGTGTGTGTATGTTTTCGTGCGAGAGCGCTTGAGTGCGTGTATGTCCATGTGTACGTTTTTGTGTATGTGTGTGTGTATATATATATATTTAACATCAACAAATCAGAGTATAAACATCTGTTTGAAACAGACGTTAATAAATTCTGTAAAATCGTACAAATACAAAATTCATGATTTTTGATAGAACAAACTAATTTATCATATATATAGTCTATGAAGGTCTTAATTATTAAATATTTTGCTTTATAAAAAATATCAAATTTTATAAATTTTTCCCTATTGTATAAATTTCATAATGTATACAATGTTACTCTAACATTTATTTATAAATAGTTGTGTATTATGTTTATCGATTAAACTTTATTTTTATAATGTACAATAAAAGATGTATAATTTATTATAAAAATGATTGAAAATATATATTTTTAAGTGAACTAAAATTTAGTTCTTTTTTTATAAATAAAATCAATTACTTAAAAAATCATTATATACAATGAGTATAAACACATGATTAAACATTTGTCTCTTGGAATCATTTAAGACTATCTTAATAATTTAAAACACTACTGCTTCCTAAAACTTTTTAAAATAGGGTATATATTTGTTAATGCATCTTTCAATTCTTGTCGATTTTTTGCACCTGAAATAAGCATATATTAATATAATTAAAGTAAAAAAATGTATTTTAAATACATTGATGATATTTATTACCCGTTAAAACAATTTTACCATTGACAAAAATAAGTAATACTACTCTTGGTAAGACCATTCTGTATATTAAACCTGGATATAATTCAGGTTCGTAACTTGAAAACTGTCCATGCATGTGATTTAAATTTTCTAATTTAATGGGAAATTTTAAATCTGCAGTCGCAACGATATTTTGTATTTTGAAATCCATAAACTTCACCTAAACAAAGATTATTCAATATTTATTTATATTTATACTTATAATAATTTAAATATCTACATTATTAGATCACAAAAAATTTTTTACATACATAATAATAGTCCAACTTACAGAGAAACCAATTTTTTGAATTATTCGAGCAAACTTTTTCGAAGCTAAAAATGAATCTTCTTCGCATCTAGCTCCAGTACAAACCAATTTTCCTGATCGAAATATTAATGCTGTTGCTCTAGGATTACGTATCCTCATAATAAGCCCGGTAAAACGGGCAGGATTATATTCTGAATTCCTTGTTCTTGTATTAATATAAGTTAATTTTAATTCGGTTCCTAAATTGACAGTTGACACAACATTTCTATAAGATCGTAAATATTTTAAAAGACAATCTAACTCTACGCATTTTTGATATACTATCACAAATATAAATACAAACAATATTAAGACCATGTGTCGTTTGTCTGAGAAACTTACTGTAGACAAGGATCGACTAATTCCTTACCGCCACTAGCCGGTAACATAGGCGTCATAGACGCCTGTGGATTAGACTGAGATGTGCTTGGCCTGGGCACATTTGCCTATAAATGAAATAGTAAATTAACAAAACAACTCGAATAATATAACCTTACTAATATAGATAAGTGATGTTACTTACGGTAAGTGGCGGAGCCATAGAACCTTCTTCGGACGCATTTTTCGCCGGACTCGCAAGGAGCCGCTTCAGCTCGTTATCACTTGCTATTGCCATTATTAATGCCAAAAATGCATATATGTTTTCATTATTCTCCACATAAACAAAAACTCCGACATCTTGATATAAATTATAACAACCAGTCTGGATTCCGTCTGAATTCCAAATAAGTAATACTGCACCGACACGACATCTCCCGACTCCATCAAGCAAAATTTGGAAAATAGAGAAAAGTCCATCTCATGCGCACATGAAGAATGAAATAACTAGTAGAGCAATATATCATATATTTAAACGTAATTTAGTACTGCAAAGGCATAAAAGTAAGAAAATTCGTGTATGTAATTAATTAAATACGAAAAAATATCTAAACAATTATTGTGATTAATCGTATCGTAGATGAAGCTGCAGTAAAACATTTTTACTTGATTTTTTTTTTAAATAAATAAGTAAATAGTTACCGACGTTCTCCTAAAAAATGTAAAAGTTATTTTAATTGTTTAATTGTTTAATTGTTTAATTCTTTAATTGTTTAATTGTTTAATTGTTTAACTTCAATTAAATAAAAACAATTGGAATTTTTATTATCCTTTTGCCAAGTTTATTTTCATTCTATCCTTTTCATTCATAGACTATTTATTTTATTTATTTTTGCTATTTTAATTAATTATTTTCTTATTGCAAATTTAATCTATTTTCACATTTTCACTGTACGTATTTATTACGTATAAGTAGATTCGTATTAGATAGATTACGTATATATAAGTAGATTACGTATAAGATAGATTACATTTAAAATGTAACACTAATTTTTTTCTACTTACAATTTATCTATACAACATTTAAATGGGCTATTTTCCTAGGAAATTCCATTTTCGTCATTCTCTCATGCGAAGAAACTGAGAATATGCCTTGATAAAATCACGCGATTGGTGTAATAGTGACCAATAACAGTGTTTCTTTTGATATGATTATTGTTACTATTAGCAACAATCAACACCGCCAAACCAGGATTCCTATTCTGTCTTGTTTATTATAATTTAACTACGTACATTAATTTGTAATTAATATGAATATTGTTTAAAGTAAAAAAGCTTTAAACAATGTCAGCTAACTCATTGCCGGTTGGAAATGATAGTAATAACATTGTAATATTTGATATTTCAAAGAATGAAAGAAAATTAAACGAAGAATATAAATCTCTGCAAAGGAAATTAAAACCAAAGTGGAAATTCATTGAGTAAGATACAATAATAATGAAACTTGAATTATATTTAATAATAAGTAATATTTTACTTGATTAAAACAGAAATACCGATGTACTAACTCAAGAATTCCTTTTAACTGGCAAAATTCTGATTTTGGCTGGTCCAGAAAACAAATTCACAGAGTTAGAAATGAATTCTATCAGGGCATTTATAAATTCTGGTGGATATGTTTTAGTCATGCTAGGAGAAGGTGGAGAAAGAAAATTTAATACGAATATCAATTACTTATTAGAAGAATTCGGCATAATGATTAATAACGGTAAGTGATCTATTTTTTTAATACTAATCATTGCAAATCTTACGTAACTGATTAAAATTTTTAGACTGCGTCGTAAGAATAAATTACCATCAAACATTTCATCCGAAAGAATGTACTATTCGTAAAGGCTTATCTAATAAATCTATATTTGTGAAAAATTTTGAAAACAAAGAGTGAGTGAACATTCTTTTAGTCATTTTAAAAAATTGGTAGAATACTAACTTCGTGATTATATGTAAAACCTTGCTTATATTAAATCGAACTTACAATTGTACATGGTTTATGATAATGGAATTGTATTATCATACCATCTAAAATCTAAAATAATTAGATTTATAAGAAGACTTGAATATAGAACTAATCAATTTTATAAATATTAACGTGAATATGAAAAAATATATCGTTATCAATATATTTCATATATTATTACATACTTTTAGATTGGAATTTTTGTATCCATATGGGGCTACTTTGAATGTTGTAAAACCATCGCTTGTTGCCATATCCAGTGGCACCGTTACAATTCCTACGAACCGCCCTATCTGCGCATATTACTCATCCAAATCAACATCCGGCAAACTCGTAGTTCTAGGTTCCTCGAAAATATTAACTGACATGTACATAGATAAAGATAGTAATGATACTCTCAGAGATATGATTTTTGGATTTTTCGAGTCTGATGCGATTGAAACAAACGATATTCAGAGTGATGATACCGATGTAAATATATTAAACTATTATTATTAACAATTTTTAAAGATCAAAATTCTTAGCTGATTAATAATGTTCGATTAGATTTCAAATATTTTAATTTAACGATTATACACAATTTTAGTGAGAAATTAATTTACATTAGAAATAGAATTCTTCCATCATAATATAATAAATAACTAATATAAAATAATATTAAACTAATGAACTTTTTAGTATTGGGAATATAACTTTATACCTGATATTACGCAACAAGCAGACAAACCACGAGTTTGTACACAAGATACGGACAGCGTCGATGTCCCGAGAGAGTATACAAAACTTTTCAAGCACGACTTGTATGACATTAATCTAGATATGGTTCCTGCTAGCTTAAAAGCTTACGAAGATTTAGATGTGAAGCATGAGCCTTTAAGTTTAATTGCTCCGAACTTTGAAACACCTTTACCTCCAACTCAACTATCTGTAAATATAATTTGGACAATATGTTTATAAATATGTACTAATAAACCCGATAGATATTGTCTTTTTAAAAATTAAAAGTATATTTATTTTATTGAAAGATTTTGATAAATGTTTCGCATATATAATTATTTAGACAAAATATTGTATTTATTGTTTAATTTGTTGTATAATTTTTTTAAACATAATTGATTTCCTTGTAAATTGCTGTTTAATATATTTCTACAATGTCGTGATACAATTTACAAATAAATTGAAAAGTTTGTAAAATTCTCAATTCGTTAATTTGTATACAGTAAACAGAAAATTTTATATATTTGATAATAACAAAATATTATGACAACAAAGAAAATAGAATATACTGAATATAATTTAAATACCTTATTCTCAAAAATTTTACTAATGGCAATTTTCAAAAAAGTATAATGAAAATTAATTAAAACGTTCACATTTAGAGACTTAAATCAAGTATATCGATTGTAGTAGTTAATATATTCAATAACGCATTCTTAACATAACAAAATATGTTCAATGCGGTAATTTAACATACCAAGAACTTTTACAAGGATTTTAGTCTAAATTTAATTATTAAATTTAGTGAGCGTAATTGTATAACAATTTCTCAAATAATCTACCAATAAAATAACCAAGTCTCGGTCCCAAAAATTTACAAAAATTAAAAACTTTAACCTTATGAGTAAATGGGTTATAGTACTTAATTACAAATTTTTCTTTGTAAAATTTCGTTTAATCGCTAATTACTTTTGTAGTGCAATATGATGAAAGCTAATGTTTTTATTATTTAGGTTTTTCCACCAAGTTTTCAAGAACTTCCGCCACCAGCCTTAGAATTATATGATTTAGATGAAGCATTTAGTTCAAATATTTTAAAACTTTCACAGTTAACAAATAAGTATATGTCTGATGCTAATTCTTCAAGTGAAAAAGAATTAGATTATTATATACGAGAATTCGGCGCGATGATGAGAATTAATAATATAGAAAATCTTTCAGCTAAAAATATATTAAATTATGTTTTTCAAAAAATTAGTAATTATAAGAAAGCCAGAAATTAACAGAGCAGACTTTTTTATAACGACTCCAGTTGTTTATACTGTACGGATGAATAGATTTTGTTTTAATAAAGCTAATATTTAAAATAATTTCTGAATAATTTCTGCAAATGTATGAATAATATTAAATTTGAGACTGTGTTTATGATGTAATGTTAAAATGATAATTTTAATTATTAAATAATATTATAATTACCTATTAATATCATTAATATTCATTTTTCACAAACGAATGAACAATTTTCTTTTAACATATACCAAACTTTTAATAATATTTTTTTAATACTTTGAGAGACTATGAAATTTAATAACGATTATATATATATATAATTATACACATATTTTGGCACATTTCTTAGAAGGGAATATCTTGCTGAAACCATCTTCTTACTAAATAATTAGGGCCTAGTGGGAAACTGAAAATATTTTTATTTAAAAAGTTTAAAAAACGTGCTTTCTTAGGGTAGTATGTATTGTTCGCGTTTCTATACAAAAGTTAACGTGTTAAAGGTCAACGTTTGCTATTCATAGAAGCGGGATCTGTAAGTACTATTTATTTCTTTGTCTTTAGTAAGAATGCATTTTAATAGTTATCGAATGGAAACATATAGGATATTTAGACTTTTTTTTAATCTTAAATAGATCTTTTACCTAACTGTAATTTTATTTATATTTATCCTTAAAATAGTATTTGACTATAGTATAAGGAAAATACTTAAGTTTTCATTCCTAATACAATAGATATTAAGTTATAATTTCAAGTGTATATATATATACTAAGCATTTTTGAATTTTTAAATGAATTCTGAACGAAACCACAAATTATAATTTAACCAAATTTTTAAAATTATTAATAAATTAACGATACAATTCTTGATCAATAAGTTGCCAACTTCTTTATTAATTAGGCCTTTATAAATATTCAAATATTGAAATTGGATTTCGAATTTTACATTTGAAATATTTTTATTTATATAATTGATGTTTAGGTAAATTTATGATAATATATTGTTATTACTAAATTCAACGATTAATAAGATATAAAACAGCAATACTGACTAAGTGCAATGTATTAAAAATGAAGTTTTAAGAGATAAATTTGTTTGGTTAAAACTTTCAGCAAATTCATGCAGTCGATTTCAACTGACTCTTTGATATTTTACATCTCCCTTACAAGACTCGGGTTCTGTAATAATTTATAATTAATTATTAAACAAAATCAGAAAAATTATTGTTTTACCTATAGTTCATCATATATATCAGATTCAAAATGTACTTCTTATCTATAGCTTAGTAAGCAATATCTATACTAATTATTTTAGTGTATATAAGTATATATCGAAATTATAAACATAAGATACTTAAAAATAAAATATTTACGGATGTATATAATAAACAACAAATACACGAACAAAATTAACGTTCAATAACAATTAATGCATAATATATAAGAAGAAAAATTATTTGGTTCGAAATATATTTATTAAGGAATAACATTGAACACATAACTTGTACGCAATAAGATTAATTTTATTGTTTTATTAACACTTTTGCAATTATTCAAATTAAAAAAATAGCTAAAATAAATTTTTAAATATTTTCATATAATATTCGATAAATTGTTAAATAATATTGCGTATACTCGTGTAGTACATACAATTTTCTAAACAAATCAAGCCTAGTAGGTACGTTATAACTTCATAGAAATCAATTTTGTTCCTTGGAAAATAATTGAAAATTAATAATTATTTATATGTTGCTAACATTGTACAAATAGGAATAATAGTAATGAAAAATAATATAATTATTCATAAAGAACTTAAATAAAATGGCTTGTGTATAAACGTGAATAATTATATTTAGATGAATAATTATTTTTATATTTGAAAAGATCAATAAAAAAATTCAATTTGTAGAGTTTTGTTCTCATATTTTGTATTGTGTTATATTTTACTTTTATTAATAATAAAAGTGGATAAATTTAATTATTTAATAGTTTTAATAAATTAAAAAATTGAATGAATTTAAACATGGTATATAATTGGATAAGTAAGAATTAGTTTAGTAAAAAGAACAATTTAATATAATTTAATTATAATAATATATAAATTATCAATTTTGCCTACACCTCTCGATTTTCCAATTTCTCTCATTTGTTTTTCGTTCATCTACACTACTAATAAAAATATAATTGCCAAGAAAAATCCCTAGAAATAATAGAAAAAATGTTTGCCATCTACAGGAACATACTAAAATTATTTTTGAAGTTTAATAATCCATAAGTTACATATCAGGGATTTGTTCGAACAGGGTTTTATTTTTAAAGGTTACTTTCTTAATTTCAAAATATAAAAAAGTATATTTATGTGTTAAAGAAATCAATTTTTTTATAAATAATGGTGTGATTATGTTAGCCTAATGATTTAATATTCATAGTATAAGTGAATACCAAGAAAATGTCGGTTTTTTTCGTTAATACGTAAGTATCGACACTTAGCATCTTTATATTTAGGTTATGTTGTCTTGAGTTTATTTTTTTAAAAACATTGAGTTTTTCTTAGTAGAGTTAAATAATATTTCAGATTTTAGTTCCATTCATCCAGCACCTTAAGTTTCATTATGGAGTTCTTTGTAAAATCGTGTGTATTATTTATGTTTTTATGATTTTATTTTCTATCCATGTATTCTTATTAGGCACAGTTTTATAATTTTTTGTTTATTTTAGAAGTCAAGATAGTGAGGTCGAGGGAGATTCTAATAGTGACTTACAAATTGCCTCACCTGGAAGCTCTGAAGCTCAACAGGCATTAGGGCAATTTTGGCCAAAAGTCACAGAAGAAATTAAAAAAATTACAACTGTAAGTATAAATAACTTATAAATTACAATATTTTAGATTTTATGAATATTGCATAAATTTTTTATAGATGGACTTAAAAACACAATCCTTACCTCTTGCGAGGATAAAAAAAATTATGAAACTTGATGGTGATGTTAAAATGATAAGTGCAGAGGCGCCAATGTTATTTTCAAAGGCAGCAGAAATATTTATACATGAACTAACACTTAGGGCATGGGTTCACACAGAAGACAATAAAAGAAGGACACTACAAAGAAATGATATTGCAATGGCAATAACAAAATATGACCAATTTGACTTTTTAATTGATATTGTTCCAAGAGACGAATTGAAGCAGAGTAAAGCTCAGACAGACAATACCGTGCGAACTTCTATGAATTCAGATCAAGTGCATTATTATTTTCAATTGGCACAGCAACAAGCTTCAGCTAATCAAACTGTACAAAATAATGGATCATCGCAGCCTATTCAAATAGTTCAACCATCTACTGGTCAAATTCAAGCTATTAATATAGGTAGTCCTGTAGATCAAGTAAGTTAAAAATAGTAAAATACTTTATATAACAATAGGCAAATGTAAATATTAAAATAAACTATAACCTTACATTTTTATATTTTTTCAAATAATTGTATATACATCATTGTATGATTCCAACAACAACAAAACAGAAAAAACTGAAAATTATAATTATCTAAAATTATTTTTTATTTAGTTTTCGTTTTTTCTTTTATTTTTAATTATTTGTAAATGATGAATTCACAATAATAAACAAAAGATATATTATGTATATTATTAGTATATTAAAGCAACAATATCATCACAAATAGTTGTAATAATTGCAAGAGTAATTAAATTGTTTAAATATATTTATACTTCATGATCTGCAAACTCGATTAAAAAAATTTCATTTTCAATATATTGTAATAATATTCTTAAATTTAATCATTTTTATGTAAGTTATAGTAATATTAAAATATTTTTAAAATAAATATTAAATTTTATAAATAATTATGAAAAATATATTTTAAGGAAACAAATACAAGCACAACTCAAACACTTACAGTACAAAGTTCTCAACAGACAGGAGGGCAGCAAGTAATACAATTACAACAGCCTCAAACTGCAACTGCAACAGCTGGAGGTATTCAAATAGTTCAGCAAATAGTTACACCTAGTGGAGAAATTCAACAAATACCTGTAAATAAAATTATTTAAATATCTAGTAATTAGCTAATGTATTGTTGATTAAAAAAAAAAAATAATTTTAGATTCAATTAACACCTCAGCAGCTTCAAATGATTCGAATGCAAGTTCAAGGAGGAAGCAATCAACCGATAATAATTCAAGCATCTCCTATTCAAGCACAACCCCAATTGATTCAAGTAGCACAGGGTGGTCAAGCTCCAGTTTTCTTACAAACTAGTGCAGCGGATAATGAATAGTTTTAAATATTTAGATCACACAACGATCAATTCCTTTTAAATCTAAGTTTACTTAAAAAAATATGTAAGAATCGTTTGCAACACCATATAAGTTATATGTTTTATATATTTATATGCATGCGTAGATATATGCATATACATATATATACGTATGTATCAATGAGTGCAAGTGTCAGTCATCGCTTATATAAGCAATCCATTTCATCTTTGAAAAAAATAAGAATAAATATTTTTATAAATCAACATTTGTTTATTTAAATTTCATTAAAATGTAATTATTATTCAAACATTTTTATAGCTTTAAATGTTATGTTCATTTCATAATTTTTTTTTCAGTATATAATTTCAGTATTTTTTTCAATATAGAAAGCAATCTCTAATCTACCTTCTATGAAAAATTAATTTTATAATAATTTCATTAGTCACTTTTTTAATTAAATAGTTCCGTAAAATATTTATAAATAAGATTAGTGCCTGATTTATACAGATAAAATTTAAATAAATAAGCATATTAAAAAATTTCAATAATTCATATTTTTAAAAATGAAAAATATGACTGCAATTCAATAAGGTATACAGCAATATTAAATTTACAACATATGATTTTTTAACTAGTAATTTATTATTATTGAATTACCAATACTTTTAAAAAATGCATTATGTTTACGCAAGGCAGAAACGCTAAAAAAATTTTCAATATTTATCGAAATTACGAGAGATTTTAATAAAATTAAGCTAAATTTATTAAAAATCAAATTATAATATAGGCAAACGAAAATAATATATATCTTACTAAGTTGTAAATTAAATAAATAATTAAACTAAAATGAAAAAATCTAATATAACGTGAGCAAATAATCGTGCGCTCATGAAGAAGAAACTTTAGCGTGAAATACTAGTGACGGCAGATCCTCCCGTATGCGCCTATTCCTTAATTCGATTACGCTCGACTTGAGAAATATCGTCGTTACAATTCATCGGCGGCTTGTCATCGTTCCCAACGTCGTTTCTCATTTAGATGCATCGATGCGAAATGAGGCGTACCAAGAATAAGGAAAAAGAAGAACGTAAAGAAACGCTGGAATGAAGATAAGCGAAGGAGAGAAAGAGCGCAAGATGTAATCTGATTCGCGTGGCGTTCCTCCTTCCCTCCCTATTGCCCTCTCACTTGCTCGCCCGCCCTGTCTCTCTATCTGCCTTTCGTTCTCTCTCTTCGTTTCGGAACTGCCGCTTCGCATGGCTGATCCTCTCGGGAATCGAGAGGTACGAATACGACTAGTCGCGCCGAGGCTGGTGCGACCTGGATTATGTTTCAGCACTGCTGCGGTTCTCTCGTCCAGCTCATCCAACTTTCTTTCTCTTTATCTGTGCATATATGTGTATGCACATCCTTATGTGCACATGTGTAAGTACGCGCCCGCGTCTTTTTTGTGGATTATTATCTCTGGGTTTTTCTATAGGCTGAGAAAAATATACCCATTGGTAGCTGGTTTTTTTTAACATTTTTTTATTCAATCTCTTATTTTATCACAATTAATACCGGAATTGAAAAATCCTGAATGTGTGCCTATTCGATAGAAAGGTAATAAAAGGGAAGAATCAAAGTCGATTTATACATAAATTGCTTGACTTATGTACTATGCTGAATGTAACTGCATGCGACTGCGCATTATTGTACTATTACTATTCGCTTTAACGTTAATTGCTTATTCTTGAAAATATTAGATTATATTAATTTAGATTTAAAACTTGACGACAGAAATTCCTCAAGCTATAGAATATTTTTAATTATTAATTACTGATATTAAGTTCGGTATATTTCTTGTTTGTTTACTATAATATTCTAATTGTGTTAAAATATGTTTTTTCTCTGTATCTAAAATAATACCAATTCTGAAAATCAATAGCTGAGAAACTAATGGATTGATCAAGTAACTGAATAATAATAAAAATATGTTTCAGTATTTACATTGATTACGAACACCTTCGCGGCTATAACATCTATATATTACAAGATATCTCTTTAACAACCAGAACTACATAAATAATTATTAATAGATTCTTGTTATATCATACAATACATACTTTTTAGGAAGCTATTACTTTATCCATATAATCTTTAATTCTACATCTTTTTATAATATTTATTTTACAGTTTAGAAATTAAAATGACAAGCAATTGAATAAAATAAATCTAAATACATCTATAACTATAAAATATATTTTTAATTGGGTCTTTCTTTTATAAATTTCTAATAGCATTTAATCTACATTTGAAAATTACAAATAAGCAAGAACCAGAATACCCTATCACACTTCTACGAATACTTGTTAAATTGAATAATTGATAATAAAATCTAAGGAATTTTAATATAGTCGATAATTCATATAATCACTCGTTAAAAAAGAAATGCCTTAGCCATCATAAAAATCGAAATTATAATTATCAAAAGATTAGGTAGATAAATAATATATACTTGCAACAATGTGTTGTGGCTATGCGGTGTATAAAGAACAAATTTTGAATAAAAGGCAAAATCAGCGCAATTTTTCCCTAAGACGCGTGTGTAGCGACACGAAGGATGGAATTGAAATAAATAAAGGAGAGAGAGAGAGGAACATGCACGTGATGATAACATCTTCTGATGGTGGCACGGGAAAGAGACTAGTATATATATGAGATTCCAAAGTCGGGAACCTGCCTGATGTTCTACAAAATAAATATATTTTTATCTGCTAGATAGAATGGAAAAGAGATAGAAGATAGACTTTTTAGTTTGCTTGTAGATTTTGAATGGACATTCTCACAAATTCCAAACAATTATTGAATTGCAATTGAGTTAAATTTTAAGCCTATCTCATGAATTAATAGGAGTTAATAATCATTGTCGGAGCTTTATTATTTATAAGTATTTATAGATCTATTTTTATTTTTCACGGAAAAGAACATAATCAGGAATATTTGACTTAAAATATGTATAATTATAAAATAGTTCTACATTTACAAAATATTATAACAGATATAATGGCTATTATTACACGTAAATCGTGTAAAATAATTGAAATACTTGTTATCGTTGAAGCGTACTTAATATATATGATAGACTATGAGTTTTGGAACAATAAGAAAAGAAATTCATTGAATATATTATAGAAAAATTTTTATCGTTGACATTCATTTAAAATTAGAATTTTGCAATATATTAATTTCAAAATTTCATTATAATAGTTTTTCTATACATGTAATGCACAAATAATTATTTATACATTATTTATAAATAATAGGTAGTTAAAATTAAAATAGAGAGATATAAATCTATTAAACAAATTTTAAAATCAAGAATACTTGCCAAAAATTTCATTTTCATTTTTCATTTCATTTTTACTTCGTATTCAAATTATAAAATTTAAATGCCAATTGATATTATTCGTTTCTTAAGTTGCATCGTTTATCATTGACCTTGATTTACATTATTAATTGTATATTTAATATAAACTTTATTTATGAATATGTGTCATAATCTTAGTTCCTACAAATTTATAAATAATTGTCAATGGTATGTATCACATTGAATCGATTATAAGAAACTGTCATAATTGTACAATTATTCGTAATATTAGTTCATTCATTTTTTAACCTTTTGATAAAATATTGGAAACAATATCAATTAGACATTCACGAAACATCAATTACGCATATAAATAACTGTGAGACTTATGCATTTTCACGAATTCATTATACGCTCTTTAAAAAAATCTTTCTACGAAATAAAGCCAATATTATTATTAATAAATTTTGTTGAAATCTTAAAAAATATATTAAAATAATGTATAATAAAACAACCTCACACATAAATACATTACTAATAAATCTATTACACTAAATGTAATAATCAACATTCTTCGTCAGAATTTTTATTAAAAGCTTTTAATTGTTAAAGCCTACTTTTGAATAATTAAAAAAATATTGGTTACTGTATTAAATATTCGCGTTATTTGAATATTGTTGTTTCATATAATTAATTTTGAATTTAATATTTAACAATAAATGCGTCACGTATTTGAGTATTCAATCCAGATATTATTATTTTAATGATCGTTATTTTATTATTACATTAGGTCAATATTATTATACTACATTGCATTATATTTTTAAGAAATTGATTGTATTTAAAATGATGGTGAAAAATTTATATTATAAGGTATGTTAATAAAATCTTATTTCAAAAATATATGGAAAAAATATCGCTTAAAATATATATATAAAACAATTGTATTCTTTTCAAAATTTACAAAATTTTTTTAAAGAATTTCATAATATTATTATTTAAAATGGTTTAAATATCAAAAATAGTTTCTTAGTATAACTGTTTATAAAAGTAAAATCTAAACAATCTTAGATTTTATAAAATTTATAACATATTTTATAACATATATTTTATATATTATAATATTTTTACAAAATTCTAAGATTTTATAACTTTCAATGGTTATTTATTACAGTTAAAATTATATGCAATAATAAATAACATTAAATATAAATTTAATTTTCCAAATTCACAACATTTGTAACATTACATATATAAATAGATTATCATACTTAATATATTCTATACGTCCGATTATATAAATTTAATTATATTATTTCAACAACAAAATAAAAAACTTATCAAACTCTTTTCTATGAAAAAGACAGGCAGTGAAAAAGAGAGTGAAAAGAATTAGAGAGCATATACAAGAAGCGGATGAAGATCTCGTGGGAGAAGGGCCTGATGTCCTTTTGTTAGGGCGGAACAAAGATGTGCTCCATTTAGTGACGTCACAGGGTGGCGCGCATCCGCACGTTGCCAAGGGATACGAGAGTGAGTGAGACGGACATTGTATATGCTGTGGGTGATACGTGCCTGTGGGCCCCGGCAAAACAAATTCGATGCGAGAAAATGTCTGATACCGATTTGTTGAAGACCGTTTCATTTGATGAATTTACTTCATTATTTTAAAGTCTATTAGTTCAACGTTTATAAATATTTAGGATTTTTGAACAAAAAATATTTTTAATTAACGAGCATTTATATTTTTTGAATAAATGTTTACATGATACAATATTAAATGATTTATTATTATTTTAAAATTAAATTAGTAGGTATTATATTTTTATTTGTAGAAGGATATGATTTACCTAACTCTTTTACAAGTTAAGTTAACTTTAATCTTTCGATGAAAGATCTACATATAATGATAAA